CGTGGGGATTGCTCGTAGGAAAAGAAAACGAAAGATGGACCCTTTGAAATGGACCTAAAGGTTCAAAGCTTGAGTTTGGATCTGAACTTTCTTAAAATGGGGTAAGAGCTGCTGGGCTGCTCTGGAAACAAATAACTTGTGAAAGGTGTAAAAATAAATCAGCTTTTTCTGCCATTTTTGCATTTCTGCAAATACATAGTGTAGAAAAGAGATGAGGCCCCTCACTAGGAGACCATTGCTGCTGTGCAATGTAAAACATCCAGGAAGTGGTTAATTTGCAAGGCCAGTTGCTTTTGGAAGTTGCTAGGCAGCAGTGTCCTGCCCTCAGGATGTGTCATCCCCAGGGTATGCTGAAGATCTGCAAGTACTGTCTTGTGTCGAACTAAGACTGCACAGTGACCTGATACCCTGCTGGGTGACCAACGTGGGTGGAGCTGTGAAATACGTTCAAACCTTCTCGTGTAGTTGGATTTAGTTTGTCACAAAATTGGTGAGTCTTTTCCTAGTTGGACTCCAGAATTAATTCTAAATACCTGAGCAAAAACACCATGAAACCACTTTTTGTGAAAGCATTTTTTTTATTTTTCTACATTTGCCATCTTTTCTACTTCAGCAGTTGCGTTTGTACTTGTAGAGAATACCATCTTCCAAAGTAGTGTTAGCTTTGTTGACAAACTGTTAAATCTAAATGTTAGGCATGACTGATGCATGCATGCAAACAGGTATTTTTGTTGTGAAGAACAGTGGTTGCTAAATGACTGACAAGTTTTGCAAGGAGAACACAGTTATAAGGAATCTTGTCCATCTCCTGCACTAATTTAAGGAACAGAATTCTGTACTACTTTGCTGATATAATTTGTTATTGAGTTATCACATTAACACTGAGTTGCTGTTTTGCCTTTGCCCCACTCAGCAGAAGAGCTTTCAGTCTTTTGAACTAGAAAGTCTTGATTAGCCTTTTAATTAAAACTGTGTTCATACAGGACCTTGAGATTGCTGATGTTTTTAGTACATTAATTTTCCCTTGGCTTGTAAACGAGGGACCTGTCAACCAAAAGTGGCTAGGACTAGGAAGAAGCCTTCTTTTTAATACAGATTCATTAATTCTTCTACAGAAAAGATAGGTTCATAAATTCTGTTTTCATGGTAGTGTTGATCAGTAGGTTCTTCCATCCATTTCTTCTAAGAGTTCAGGTCTCAGCAGAAAAGTTCATGCAACAGCTACTAGAACAGGTAAACTATTGAGATTTTTTTCTTTTTCCTTGCATAAAGATCAGCTGACTTTTGACATTTTCTTAGTTGTTATGGCATCAATTCAAGATAGGATCTGTAAAAGCACAGTTGATTCCTGTAACAAAACTACAGAGCTCCTTATCTTTGAACATTAGACTTAAGATGACATTTGGGGTTCTGGGGTTCTGACTGTGGAACAATTTTTTGAAGTCAAGTCCTCAAAACCCTTTTCTTCTTGTTTATGGCAATAAGGTATCTTACAAGACTCAAAAGCCATAGAGTGTGGATACCTTGTCATCTTCTTCTTCTTGGGATCCAAAAAAAAAAATACTGCTGAAGTCAGTGTATTTCCATACTATGAATGCTAGTCCTGGTAACAGGGTAGCAATTCTAAGTGAGAAACAAATAAGAGTTATGCAATATACACTTCTTCTGTCTCTTGCAATTGCATCCTCTCATAGAGAAAGAGATGGGATCCTCTCCAATGGCTGGGCCACTAAGTCATTATAATGTGGATTTTCACTATGCCAACAGCAGTAGCTGCAGTAAGTACAAGTTGGAAGAAAAAATCTAGTTTGTTATTAATTAGTATTTGGATGATAGATACAAGGGCTTATCTTTACCTTGTCAGATCATTTATCTTAACTACCCAGTACAGAGCTAGAGAGCTGTTTTCTGAAGCTGTTCTCTGGAGAGAACAGCTTTCCTTCTCCTTCATGCACCCATGGGACTAGCTGGAGGAATGAACTGCTGGACTGAGCAGGTTTGGAGGCAATAGCTCACAGGCCTGGAAAGCACATGCCTATCAAGTTTCACCTGCCGGGTAAGACTCAGTGTACTGCTACATAGCTGGCACTTCCCAACCTCAGGATCTTCTCTGTCATGTGACCCAATGCCACAGAGATGGGAGCAAGCCACGTAACCAGGTGTTCATCCTTGTCATCTAGCATGGAGTGTCAGTCTTTTAGATTGTTGCTTGGCTAAGTTAAAAGCAAAAAGCCCACAATTTTTGTCTGTTTTGTTTCCCCTGTGCTTCATCTTTCAGCCCCTGAAAACATTAGCAACCTTTTCAACAGTTTCAGCAAGTAAGGCCAATGCCGTCACATGAGAGCAAACAAAAAACAGTGCTTGCACCTTGATGTGGCTGACTTCTAATGTGAGCTCTTTTTTGTGCTGAGCTACTTGTGATGCCACTAAAGACTAATGAGTAGGTGACCTAAAGCTACATCATGGTAAACAGATCTCTTTAAATGTAAATCCAAATGTCTCCTTTGAAGTCCTCCATTGGAGATGGCATGTTTTCCATCACACAGTGTTTGCCTACAGAGCTTTCCTCTTGTGTTGGCCGAGACCCAGTTCAGGTCAAACAGGCTCAAACTTCAGAGTGATGGAAATGTTAAGTCAGAAGAAAGGGAAATGTTAACAAATATCTATTTTTAATCGGGATTCTCCACTGGAAAAGGCAGATCAAAGATTTCAACCTAAAAATTGCAAAGCTAACAATATTTTTTTGGAACTCAGAAATGGCATTAGCTTTCCGTATCCCTTCTGGCTATTCCAGGGAAACATTTGTCCATGTAAAGAAGAGGTATATTCCTTGTTCCTGTCTTCATGAGAACAGATCAGAAGGGAGTATGTGGCTTGTGGAAGAATTCCTTTCAATATTCTTTAAGTAAGAGGGTGTTACATTTTTACCCAAACATACCATTTCTGTTCTAGTACCAAAGAATTAAGAACTGAAACTGATAATGACGTGAAGGAGAAGGGGAAAAATGTGGATCCCACTGTGTGATCTGGGTTCTTTGCGGTATTATTGAATGAATTAATCTCCTTTTCAAATAAAACATACCTTGTACTACTCATTTCTACAGAAATTTCAATTGCTAAAAGACTACTTCTGAACATAGCAGGAAGACCTTCGGGAGGATTTACTGAAGTTACCCCATCATTGCTTCAGCTAACTATTGAGTTGTTCAGACGTTTTCAGAGGTGGACCTTTTGCTAAAATCTTGACATTTTAACTTTAGAGGAATTTCTTTTGAACACAAAGTTGTTTTCCAGTTTCCATCTAGGCTTCTAATTTGGGAGTGGTCCATTGCTTATTATAATCAGCCAACTGGACATTTAACGTACATACTTAGGGCTTGTCATGATAAACTTCCCAGGAACTGTGCCTTTCTTTCGGAGTTGCAGCATGCTGAGAGAACTACTGGCACTTATTTAATCCATGATTATATTTGCTGAAGAAGAAATGGGCCAAGCTAATATCTTCATTAAAAATAGTGAAATGTAAAAAAAAAAAAAATTAATAGACAGTGGAATAAAGTAGATCAAACTAGATTAAGAAATAAATTTAATTATACAAAGTATTGAGATACAGGAAAGAGATTTTAGAAAGCATTATTTTTAAATTAAGCATGTCCTTTAAGGATAAAGGTAGAAATGTCTGTCTTACCAGTAATATAAGACAGAAGTAATTGTTCCTATCAACCCATTCTATTTAGAAATATTTTTGTTAACAAGTTTGAAATATATTGAAAGTAAAAGTCAGGAATATTTGACTGAAATTGTGCAAATATATCACTCCAGCCTTTACTAATTGTTACAAATACTCAGTAGGAGTTAAGATGAGCGGGGACATGTCATTGTTGTATCACTGAATACTTTCATCAAATGAAAAAAAAATCAGTTCTGTAATTAATCCAAAAGCTTTCCATGTTTGTCTTGGGAGGAGGAATAAACAGTGGGCACAGGAAACCATTTCCATCTGGAAGGGAGGGAATAATGATGGTTTTCACACAGAAGGAGCACCTATTTTTTCTAATGGAAACTGCTGTCAGATTCCAAGCAGAAAGGAAGTGTGAGAAGGAGCCTTCCCAGTCCTGCACTAGTGCTGTACTAGTTATTCTGGCAGCAGCAGATTATTTACAAAGCCCCGCTAATTGGAGTACGGCACGGAAACACCATGCTTTTGTGCAGGTACCAGAGGCACACGTTGCTTTTCAGAAAACCAGAGGTTTGTTTTCTTCCCGCACGGCTGTGTAGCGCGTTGTCTGTCACCACCCCCAGAGCCGGTTGCGTTTCACAGTCGCCCCGTAATGGCACACGCATTGTTTCGCCCACCTGTTGCACCCTGTCAGTAAACTCTGTGGTTGTATGATGCCTGGCACTATCAGTGGTGCTGTCATTTGCATTTAAATAATAAATAATAATTGGCTATCTGGTTTGCGGAGCCCTTGTGGCACCCCTCAAGCTGAGCTGCGCTATGTGAGTGAATGCAAAGCACTATTAGGTATAAATAGATGTTTAGTCACAGCTCATGTCTCTCATTAGGGCAATTAGGGACCTGTAGAAGATGATCAGTCAGGGATTTTATGCATCCCGACATCAGTGTCTGGTTGCTTGTACTGAGGGATGCTGTTTATAGTCCAGTTGATAATTTCTCCCTTTGCTGCTCTTTGTTATTATTATCCAAAGTGCCATTTTGCTTCTGTTAACAAAAACAGAAACCCCCCCATGCCGCTGTCTGAACAGCGAATGTCCACAATAGGGGCAAGCAATCCAGGGCAGGAGTTAAATATAACCGTGTCTAGTGTAAGGAGAAGATTTAATGGGAAATGGTTGGCATTCTTCCTTCCTAAAGGCACGGAGAGAAAGAGAGCGAGAGAGAGAGCGAGAGCGAGAGACCTACGCACACACACCCCCACACACCCCCACATAGACGGGGAGGGCGAGCGAAAAGAGGAAGAGAGCAGGCAAGCCAGGCAGAGAGGAGAGCAGAGGCAGAGGGAGAGCCCCAGAGCAGACCTGCGTCTCTAGCTCGGGATTTTACAGGGTGCAGCCAGCATGTTTGCCCTCAGCCCTGCTGCCTGGGGATTCAGCCTTCAGCTTGTCTTCTGCTTTGCTTTATCTCAGACTTCATACGTTGACAATGTCTTCTCAGTCTCAGCAGGTAAATGGCTTTAAGTCTTGTTACTTTTCTTTGGTTGGACCTCTCCTCCGCACTCCGATTCCTACCCTTTCCAGTGATCGGGGACACAGGATTAAAAAAATATTTCCGTTGCAGGTCTTAGCGAAGGAATTTTACGTTGCAGACCTGTGCCACCACATGCTGGGACGTTTTTGTTGCATGGTTGTTTTTGCTTTATTATTTCTGATTTTGAACCTCTCCCTTCCCTTCCCTTTCAGAAATAATAAACAACATCCTCAGTTGCTCTGAAATGCTTTTTTTCCTGTTGGCTTCTGTGGTGCTGTGCAAAATCGTGCCACTGGCAGATCTGGCCCAATTAGTATATTACTTACATGTCTGCATACTTCTTTCTATTTTGGATGAGCTTAGGTAGGTTACAGTAAAGGAAAGAAAATGAATCTCAATGTATATCTGCTTCTATAATTAAAGCTCTGACCTCAATGAGGGCTGCCGGACTCCCGGCTGGATGTTAGCAGAATAAACATCATGCGCTCTGGCTGTGACACTAACAAATACTCAGATGACTGACATAGCAAACAAGAGCCCACTGCATGGAAAATCCCTGCTAGGCAAAGGCAAAACGAATTAATTGGCGGCTGATCCAGGGCACTGGAAACCCACTTAATAGATTTTCTAGTTTAATCTGCAAGACTTTCCCCCAACCACGTTCTGTAGAAAGGAAGGGGGAAGTTGACAAGAACTTCTGACTCTCTCTGAGGATCTTCCATCGTTTTACAGTAAATTGCTCTCTCCCACCTTCCTTCTGCTGTTCTTTATCTGTCAGTGGAGATGCTTCTGACTAAAATCCTAGATTCCTTCAGTGTCAAATTTGAGGTGGTTCAAGTTGGATTTGTAGGTCGAGGTCTGCTATACCTTCAGGTCCTTTGTATGTCTGTAATATCAAGACAGTGACCAAAAGGGTGCAAATTTTAAGGCTGCGCATAAAATCAGTCTCACAGATGGATTTAAAGACACACTCTCTCTTTCTCTCTTTCTCTCTCTAACGTCTCTGTGGTGACCACAGAGCCAGAGGGATTACATTTAAGCCATTGAGGAGGGAACAGTGGTCAGCAGGGTAGCTTGTATGAGGTGATAGATCTATCATTTCTGAACCAAAAAATAACAACGCTATGAGAGATTTCTCCTAGCGTGTTTAAAAAACTCTTTTAAAATGTACAAGTTTAGCGCTATAGCCCATTGTACCTCTTCAGTCCCAACGGCTTGAACAGTCCATGCATTTAAAAATATTCCTATTCGCATCATAAGGTTCTGATGGCCACAAGAGTAACCCAGATATCCTTGGGGGAAAAGCCCTATAGCATTGAAGGATGCAGCCATTAGAGTTCTGCAGCCATTTCAGACAGCGTTAAGTTAACATCTAGATAACGTCTAGAGAAGCCTAATGTTTGAAGAGGAACATCCTTTGAAAAACACTCTGCTCTTCAGAACCGCTAGAAATTAATCCTTTTCTGCTGAGTTCTATAGGATGCTAAAAGCATTAATGTTAGTTATCATTTCTGTTCAATTGCATATGCTTTTTTCATGAGGTTAATATTAATTAATGCTGAGATACAGCAATCACTGGGACCCTATCTTTGCTGGCACGTTCCAAATTGTCTTGTGTTAGCCTGTAACTTACTGGACCTGAAAAATTATTGTGAGAAGCTTTACATTTATTTGAAGCAAGTAGATTCCAGTCTGATAAACAAGAAGTTCACCGCTCCATCGTTTACAGGGCCTGGGCTTTCTCTTGCACTGATTTTGTCTTATGGAACATACCTGTTTGTCTAGAGAAGCCATTTAAACTGCTCTCTTAAAAAATAACAGTCCAACAAATAAGTCCTCCTTCTTCTGAGGGGAAAGTTCCTGCCTCTGCTGAAAACATAGTAGAAGAGGCAAACAGGAAAGAAAACTGCACGGCCTGTTGTTGTCTCCACCGCTGCTTTTGGGCAGGAGGTATGGCTGCACCTCAGCGGTGATTCCACTGTGCTAATGAGGAGGTAGGGAAACGGCTTGAGGCCCTAAAGGCACCAGCAAGAAAGCTGAGGCAGAATAGCGATGGGGCACTGAGGAAGAACGAGTTGGGCACGTTGCCGCTCTGGGCTCCCATCTGCGTGACAACCCACACAGTGCTTTTCTGGCGGAGCCCCAGAAAACCCGCCTGCTGTCCTTTGTAACCAGCGAGCTCTTAGCAAGGCTTTTATTATAAAAGTATTGCAAATGTTTACTTGATAAGATGTGGGAAAATAACATCTAATGGATGATTCAACCATAATACCACAGCCACAGGGCTAGATTAGGAGTCTTACTCTGGTGAGCCGTTACGTACCTGCGTGTCAACTCCTGCTCACTAATGGGGTCAAGAGGTTCTGGTTTTGGTATGAAAAGTCACATAGTAAAGGAAATCCTTTAGTGCTTTAATTGCATCTGCATTTGACGAAACATCTCCTTAAGGAAAAAGCAAAGAGTTCTCTATTTTCTGGTAGAAATCTCATAGTAGGTACAGAAGCTGAAGCAATTCCATTTAAGTTCTCAGTTATTTTAATGGTCTCACAAATGTTCTTTTCTGTGGCTTTCAGCTTAGTTTATTACTTATATCTGGCACCAGGACTTAATTTCACATTTAAAGAACTACACATTTTAGCACTACACTTTCAAACTCTAAAACTAATCACATTTAACAGCAAGGATGTTATTAAGCAATGACTTGTCTTCCCTATAGTTGTAGAAATACATTTTGGCTATTTTCCAGATATGCCTGAAAACTTCTGATCTAAAAGTAGTTTTATTTCTGCCCTCACACATCTTTCCATAGCAACAGGTCACAAATGAAAAGGTTAGCAGGTCACAAGGCAGTAACTAGAAAGTAGATATAAACAATCTGCAGGGGAAAAATGTTTCTTGATGATATACAATAGTTGGGGAAAGAATAACAATCTGGATCATTTTCTCTCTCTCTGCCAACTCCATCGCTTAGTCCCACCAGCCTCAAGCAACACTGCATCGCTGTTCCTGGAAGATTTAAAATGTGGTGTCAGCACCAAACCATCAGTTTTCCTAGTGCTGAAACATCATTACTGGAGGAAATGTTTCAGGGAATGATATTACAACATATTCAAACATGCGACCACCGTCCTGCACGGCAGCAGGGACCTCCGGAGGGTGTAACTGACCTCCTGGAGACAGCAGGTTTGCTTTCAGGGCAGCAGCCTGTCATATCCCCTCCTAAAGATACCATATTTATGATGTCCTTTGTCATCATTTTTCAGAGCTCTGCTCTGTTGAGGTTTCTGCACTACTGTCCACTTGAATGTGACATCTGAGTGCCTCCACTGCTGTAATTAGCTACTGAAAAACTAGGCATGAATTTTATACTCATTTTTAGTAGGGTTAAGTGGACTAGATTGCACCTGGTAAGAATGAGGGACTGAAGTAAGCTAAATGCAGGTTGTAGATAGACTTTCTTCCTCTCCCTCTCCATCCTTCTCCTCCCTTCTTCTACTGATCCATGCTGAAGGTTTCGGAGGTTTTACAGAAGATGGGAAATTACTTAAAATAACAGCAACAGCTGCATAAGAAAAGCAGTATCTCAGTGCTTATTCTGACCCAAACTTCCTTTTATCTGTGACATAAAGGTATCACTCGATTGAACTTTTTCCTGTGATCAATATTGATGCGCAGCCCTATGAAATGAATATAATTGATTGATTAAATTAATTTAAGGGAACAAAGTGGGACTGTAACTTCTGAGCGCTACTGGCCATATTGTTAGCATTATTTTTGCCTGTTGCCTGTTACACCCATTTTTTAAAGCAAACGAACACCATGTTTCACTGGGTAGCTAGCACAGCCTCTCTGAATCCGGAAGGTGCAATATTCCCAGACCTCATATGGGATAACCGTAAAAAAACAGCTCAGCTTTCGTGTGGCCTAACGTTGTCGAAGCAGTAAGACCCACGGCACAAGTACAGCCGTCGTGGCAGAGGATCTGAAGTGCGCAGGCAGGCGGCTTGGACAGGCAGCACCTGGCAGGGCGCTTGGCTGCAGCCCGGCAGCTCAGTCACCCCTTGGCAAAGCTGAGGCGGGGTTAGGTGGGTGCCAGCAGCCCGTGACCGCGGTGCCTGCAGTCCTCCTGTAGTATTCGGAGTGCGTGCCTGGAGCTGCCTGAGCACAGCATGTCGGCGCCAGTCCGGTGCACCCTGTGCGTGTGCCCGGAGAGGGCTCTGAGGCAGGCGACGGCCTGAAAAAAGTCAAAGTTGTGAGCAAAGGAACTGTGTCTTGTGGTTTGAGTTCCTGGCATTGCAGGAATCAGGGTCCTGGTCCTACAAAAAAACTGTAGGTTTTTTGCAAAAGGCATATCCGACTCCATCAGCATGTTCTTCCTCTAATGAAACAACCTGCAAGAACGCTATATATTGTTAGAAAGGATAGCAGACCTGTCAGGCGCCTGGTTTTGGTTTCTAGGGAGAGTGATTGTAAACATGTATTTTTGTAATATCACAAAGGGAAAAAAAAAAAAAAGATGAGAGTGCTTGCAGGAATAAGAAAGGTGCAGAGGGACTTTAAAATTTAAAAGACTAAAAGGAAAAGTTGGAAGATTCTCAAAGGCAGCAGTTACAGGCTACTGGGAAAACAGCCCAAAGGGTGACTAGCAAATAGAGGTGAATCTTTTGGGGACCAAAAAGGTCAATCCAGATAAGGAAGCCTAGCTCTGCTCTGGAAAGTCATCATGGCCCCAGCATGGTCCCTCACACCGTGGTTCAGTAGGTTTCTCATAGAACAGGCCTGAGCAGGAAAGCTTTGATCAGACTCAATGTTGCTGGTGGAACTGAAGCAGTGGCAACGGCTACAGCTTCATTATGAGAAGGAAATCAAGGTGTCACTGGCCATAAGAGAAGCCACTCACCCGGATAGGGAACTGGTTGGCCTGGACATTTAGAAGTTTTCTATCTTGTTGTAGCTCACAGAAGCCCAGAAAGGGG